TTTGGACTCCTTGCCTATTCAAATGTCTTTATTTTAATTCACTTTTAATTGTGATTTTGGTTAAGTAAAAGGTTCCAGGCCAGACATCACTATGTGTTGGCATTCTGAAGGCATGCTCTGTTGTTTGTCAGCTTGCCCTGCTACTGCTGTTGAAAATTCAGGAATTACTGTCATCTCTGCTCTTTTTCATGATACGTGGAAACCAGAGGGGACTTTCTTTGTTTTCTGTAATAGTGTCCCTTGATGTGGGTCAATTTCCACCCACTGTGTGTAGAATTTGAAAACTCAGGGGCTGGGGATTTCGCTCAGTGGCAAAGCGCCTGCCTGGCAAGCGCAAGGTCATGAGTTTGGTTCCTGGTACCGGAGAAAAACCAAAAAACAAAAACAAAAACAAAAACAAAAACCTCATTCTCATTTCTGGGAACATTTCTTGAATTAAATAATTTGTGATTCTCTCTCTCTCTCTCCCTGTCTCTCTCTCTCTCTGTCTCTCTCTCTCTCTGGAGGATTCTTTTGTGTAGATGCTGAATTTCATGAATGTGGCATCTAATTTTTCCTCCTTTCTTTCTTATTTTTTCCTCTTTGTCTTTTTGCTGTGCCTTCTGGGACATTCACTTACTTTTATCTTCCAACCAGTCTGTTGAGGGTTTTTTTTTTTTTTTTTCGGCTCTCATGCTTTTAATTTCCCAGCCCTTTTTGTTCTCTAAATGTTCTCCTTAAAATAGCATCCTGCTCTTGGTTCTGGGATGCAATATCTCCTCTGATCTCTTCGAGGATATTAAATATGGCTATTTCTGATATTTTCTCCTTCTTGCCTAAGTGTATTTCTTCAAAGTTCTCCCCGATCTGTTCCCATCTTAGTGGCTGTTTTGTTGGGTTTTCTCTTAAGGGTCATCTGAAGGGCTCAAGTGAGCCTCAAGGGATGGCACCTCAGGGCTGGATGAGGTTGTGCCTAGAGCTCCCCACTGGAGAGATGACTGGGGTCTTGGCTGAGAAATGGCAAAGCTGTCTTTTTAAGTTTTCCCCTCAGTGCTGGTCAGTTTTTTCCAGGCGGAACTCTTCTGGCTGCTGGGTGGGAGGGTGAAGGTCAGAGCGTCGGTGCTGTAGGGCAGGGAGAAGGCTCTCTGCCACGGTACCCTTCTCTCCTGGCTTTGGCTCCCCAGAAAAAGCCTCTAGGGCCATCTAGTCCTCTATATTCATCTGGTTCCTCTTCCACAGGTACCTGGCCTGCTGATTTTGAGGCTTCGAGGGTTTTTTTGGTCACTGGCATGGGCTGTACCATCCAGCCTTGGCTTTCCCGCAACCTGTGGCTGGTTATTGTTGCCTTTTCTTCTGCTCTCCAATTTGTGGGGATCTTTACCTTTAAAAAAATCTGTTTTTGTAGTTTCAGTGAGGTTTTCACAGAGCAAAGCGGTCTGTGTGCTCAGTTGTCAGCCTGAGCGAACCTCCCTTTGTTTCTTTTCTAAACGTTACTGCAAAGGACTGTTCCCAGTTCCGCCCCACATACTCATTTCTTTAAAAATAAAGTTTCCAAATTAGAGGTTTTAAACATTCTTGGAGGTGGTGCCCCCACAGGATGGCTCCCCGGTTGGGCCCACTGTGGGGATGCACAGACTGGCTTTGGTGCCCTCCTCTGAGCAGATCCCTGTGGACAGTAGCTGGGCCTGAAGGACAAGCCCTGTTGGGGCCTGTCCCCAAAGGACACCCCGGTAGGCAGGAGCCTCAGCTGCTTTGTTGCAGGTGCTAACTTCAGTTCCCATCTGGCTGTCTGCATGGACTGACTCCATGCTCAGCTCTGGGATGGGATGGGTTCAGCATGGTGTTGACTTCCAAGCATTTCCAGAATGACCTGGAGGAGTGATGACAGGGACCTGCAAGTCATAGTTCTCTGCTCTTGCACCTGCTTGCAGCTGTACCAGGTACATGTGCCCTGCCAGTTCCTCACACATGCAACTGTGTGGGTAGCTGGAGACCTCTCTATCTGGGAGGCTTCTGGGAGAAAGTTCTGGAGAGCAAGGAGACCTGGACAGAGAGAAAGGACTCTCAGGCAGGAAGAGCATGGACGATGGGGACAGGGGCACTGCAGCACAGAAGCAAAAGGCCTGCCATAGGCGGACGGGTGAGTGACGGGGCGTGGGTGGGCCCAACCACTAGCTATAGGCCCTGGAAGCCTGGGCCATCTGACAGCAGAGGACAGAGAGAGCCAATTAGGTCTTTGAGTAGGGATGTGCCATTTCAAATCCAGGGCTGGGGAAAGTTCACTCAACCAAGCAGTTGCCTCCCTCAAAGACAAGGCATTTATCCGGTGTTTAGTTGCAGAGCCAAGCAGCTGACTTGGAATTGTAGAGCATGATTCCCACCGGCCATGACAGATCAATGGTCCAGATAGGCCGAAGGGCCAGAAATTAAAAGCATTAAACTCCTGAGTGGGCAGCAGCCACTTGTCTTGGGCATTGCCTCTCCTCACTCTGCAGGGAAGGCAGCCAGTAGCCTGGAGGCCCAGCACAGTACCACACGCCCCTCCCTTCAGGACTCAGAATCTCCCAGTTTAGGGTTCCCACTAAACCCCAGATTCTCTTTTTGCTTCACACCATAGAGTAATGCAGTCAGATGCAAGGAGGCTTCTGATTGCTCCAGAAGCAGCATGCAGGAGTCAAGGCCACCCGGGAGCAGGTTTTTCATTTGTTTTGAGATGGGAAATTTCCTCGGGGGATGCTGCCCAGTGTCTGGAGCCTTCCCAAACTTGTTTGGGATGTCCGGGCCTCTTGTCAACCCCTGGTGCTGAATGCCAAGGCCCGAGCTCACTGCCCCTCCTTGGTTTCATCCTGCCAGCCCAGAGGATCTCCAGTCTACTTCCCAGTCCCTGCTCTCCACCCCAAGTCCAGAGACCCCATAGAGGGACCCTTACCCTGGGTTGGGACAGGATGTCCCTGCTTTCCTGATTTTAGGTAAATCCTGAGCTGACCTGGTGGAAATGCTGAGGGTGGTGGGGTTGGCCAATCTGGGCAACTCTGTGGCTAGATCTCGGAGTGGGCCTGGTCACTCCATTCTAAGGGTCAGGAGGACACTATTAATGTGGATAGTGAAAGAGGAGGCTACGAACACTGGCTTGGAGGGTATATCCATCCTTCTTGCTCTGTGACCAAGTCCCTTGGGGGGGGCCCTGGGAGGGTCCCAGAGATAGGCAGGTGTGTAGAGGGGTACTGTTAAGGGTTGCCTGGACTGGCCTGCCCCAAGATCCATCTGAGTGGGGGCAGGGAGGAGAGGTGGGACCCTGGGCATTAAGGGGACCAGGGCAGCACTGGGCTCTGGAGGGGCCCTGTGCGTGTTGCCCGTCACTTTACGCCCCTGCTCCATTGGGCTGACTTCGGGCCGCCGGAGTGCAGCCCCACTCCACCCGCCCGAGGCCCTCCCCTCACCCCAGCGCCTGAGCCCCCTCCCTGAGCACAAGCTGCGCTTGCTGAGCCGCCTTCTCGCTCCAGCCGAGCCAGCCAGAGGAACGAGAGAGAGCGAGGGGAGAGAGAGAGAGAGAGAGAGAGAGAGAGAGAGAGAGAGAGAGAGAGAGAAGGGGAGAGTCAAGCGCGAGAGAGAGGAGAGGAGAGGAGGAGCGGAAAGGAGAGGAGCGGAGAGAGAGGAGCGGAGAGGAGAGGCGGCGGCAGCGCGGAGCCTCCCCGGACAGCGGCGCAGCGCGGCCCCCGGCAGCTCGCGTGGTCGTTGGAGACGCCGCAGCCGCCGCCCCAGCCCGGCCTCGCGCGCCCCTCGCCGCCGGCTCGCCGGTGCGGCCGGGATGAAGCCGGGGCATGGCCGCCGGTGCCCCGTCACCTGCCGCGGGGAACGTAGAGCCTGTGAGTAGCCCGACCCTGTTGGGCGCCTCGCCCTGTGGAGTCATCACCATCGCGACGCGCGAGCTGGGGGTGGGGGCACGGCCCGGGGAGGGGCGCTCAGGACCCCACAGCGGGAGGCGGGGCTGGCGAGGGAGCGGGGCGGCAGAGCTCGGCCGGGGACCCGGGACTCGGTCCGACCAGAGGTCGCGTTGGGAGGGGTGGTGCCCTTGGGGTCAGGGGTCCCGGCGCGGGATTTTCCAATTTCCTCGGGGGCTGAGATCTGGGCGCTTGTGCCCGCAGGGGACCAGGAGGCGATTTTGTGAATGGAAAGGCCCGGGGTCAGGCTCTATGGAGACGCCGGGGAGTCCCGCGCGCGGCGTGACCATGCCGGCAGCGGCGGCGGCACAATGCCCGGCTCGGGGAACTCCCCGGCGGGGGAGACCGAGGTTCACGGAGATCCCGGCCCCGCAGGTCGCTTCTGGGGAGGCGGCCCAGGCTGTACGCAGGCCCGAGGGAGTGCTGACAGGGGGTCCTCCTTTAGGAGAGTCTCTGAAAAGGTGGATGACCCTAAGGAGCTGTGAGAAGGAGCGGGGTCCCCAGGTCCCCAAGGAGGACCAGGGCCGCGGCGCCGCGGAGTGCGCGGGGGCAGAGCGGCGGGGGCGGTCTCCCGCAGGGCCCTCCAGGGGGCGGCGGCGGCTGCGGGGGAGACTGGGGAGTGGCTGAGCCAGGCTCCGGCGCTAGCCTGGGCTGCCTTCTCCGAGCTTCCCCCCCCGCCCCCGTGCCGGTGCAGCCCGGCCAGGAAGCCACGCCAGGGGACCTGGCACATCCCTGGCCCAAACTTTCTGCCCTGATGTCTCGGAAAGCGGCAGGGCTCGCCCTTGGGACAGCGGTCTCCTGCGGTGTCTCAAGGCGAGCGAGGCCGGCAGTCGTTTTGGGGCTCTGGGTCGCAGCCTCACACCTTACACCGCTGCGCGGAGTCTCCCTTGGCGCGTGGCCCCGCAGTGCACCCAGTCTGTGCGCGACTGAGACGCGGCGACCAGCGTTCTAAAGGGCCCGGGGATCCAGGGTCTCACGTGGAGTGGGGGTGGGACATTTCCGGAGTCCGCCGGCGGGGGCGGGGGCCCAGCGAGGTGGGGTGAAACTCCTGGATGCCCGAGCTGCCCCTCTTCTGCTCCCGCTTTCGGGAGGGACTCTTATTTAATGGTCACTTTTAAAAGGACTCCCGCGGGGCCGCTGGTCACAGGGCACGAGACCCGCGGCGGTGCAGGCCGAGGCTGAGCGGAGGGATCCGTCCCCTGGAGAGTCCCTTCCTCTGGCAGCTGGAGGTGAAGTTGATTCTCTTGCGCGCGCCAGGTCGTTAATTTTCTGCCTATAAGGCCAACTTGGCTGGGGACGCCCTAGGCTCGCACCCGGGAGCCCAGGGCACTTAGCGCCGAGCAGGTACGGGGCTAATGGAGTGGGGGGTGTCTCCTGTAATAAGGTCTTTTAGCCTGAAGCCGGCTTTGGTTTTACTAGTCTGCAAAAAATAATGAAAAAAAAAGTATAAACATTGCGGCAGAGCGTGCTCATTAAGTGTGAATCGCGGACTCGGGGCGGATGTCTTAATTAGGCTACGTTGTTAACGGGGATATTACACTAATTAAAACCAGACCCTCCAGGTGAGCGAAAATTGTGAAGGGAGAGGGGGAGAAAGTTGTAGAGAAGGCGCGGGCTGATGAGAGCTGGGGGTTGGCAGCGCGAGGAGGCCGCTGGGTGCTGGCAGGTGGGGGCTGGGGAGGCCTGGGGGTGGAGGGGCGCCTTCTGAGGGCCGCCTACCCCCCCCTCTCCCTCGTCCCCGCCCTGCGGGCCAGGAGCTCCCTTCGGCGGGTGCCTTCGAAGGGAGAACGGAGGCTGCCGCCCCCGCCCTCTCCGGGGACTGGAGGCCTCCCTGCGTGGGCGCCGGGCTCACCGCGCACTCCTGGAAGCAGCGTTTAACCCCTCATTTCCCAGCTGGGAGATTCTGGGAATGCTGAGCTTTCCCTGGGAGGGTGAGGGGGTGGGCGAGGTGAGGAACCCCAGAGATTAAGGAGCAGAGGCAAAAAGGCTGAGACAGCCCAGCTGGGTAGGCAACTGCATGCCAGGAGAGGGCTTGCTAGTGGCGCATGGGCTGTTTGCGCTGGAGCCTCCAGGGTTTTCTGGCTTGAGTTCTCCGTTTTTAACAGCATCCCTCCCCACCCCTCGCCATAGAAACAACGTTGACGACTGCTCTGGTCCACCTTCCCTAGGGGCCCGGGGTCGGGAAAGACCTGCGTCCACCCACGGCCTCAGTGGCCTCAGCAGAAACCTGGAGTCCGCGAGAGTCCCCTTAGGCTCGGGCCCTGACGCTGCTGCGCCCTCGGTGCTAAAGCTCTGTCCGATGACCTAGGGCAGAGCGGCAACGGGGCGGGTGTATTCACTGCCCTTCTGCAGGGACCGAACGCTGGGCTGGAAGAAGATGGTCCTGCCACGCGGTGCGCAGCCGGCCAGCACCAAGGACAGGGCCAGGGGCGCGCGCCGCAGACCTAAGCCTTTGCTCTGATGGGGGAAGGGCAGGACTCTGGAGGCGCATCCAGAGCTAGGCAGTCCAGGGCCAGCAAAAAGGTAATTACAGCGAGAGGTCTCCTGGGTCCTATTGAGGGAGCGAGCCTTCTGTCCCGCTCCTGCCACTTCGCAACCCTGAATTAGACGAAATGGAGAGAGAAATGAAGCTCTTGGTATCTAGGGATGAACGAAGCCTGAGAGTGGTCAGAGAAAATGGCATTCCCAGTTCTGATCTTGACCTTGGCCACGCCAGTTCAGCCTGGTGTTGCCTCTCCCCTGCAGCCTTCTTTGCCTTCCCTCCCCCAGCCTAGCATCACTCTTGCCCAAGGCCCCTTTGCTCTGAGTGTAGAAGTTGCAGGTACCTTGCTCCTAAGTGCAGGATCTTGGTTGATTTAGCCCCCACCTTCCCGCGCCCGCCCCAGTGCAGAGCACTGTCTGAGTCATGCTTGTGGGATTAGAAGGGACAGCATGCACAATGGTGCTTGAATCTCACCCAGAGGTTCTGGGGGGTGGCGGGGGCATCCAGGGGAGGAGAACGTGTCTGTGGGCACAGAGCGACCATGCTGCATGTGAAATTGAAATGTATTTCAGTGACTGTGGCGTGGAGCTCACCTCCTCCAGCCCATCCGTGTGCCTGCAATCTTTGGTTGGTTGTCTCTCTGTATTTATTTATTTCCTCACTCCTGCTCGATACTCTGTTATAAAGACAAATGGAACCTGACACACAGCTGACATGCGGTGAGGAATTTTTTATTTTTAAACAAGTGAAGGGGAAAAACCATCTTGAAACTTTCCGCCTTCCACGCAGATGCTTCTCCCAGGGAGCCCGTCTCTCCCCAAATCCTCACTTGCAGCAGGTCGTGCTTCTGGCCCAGGCATGAACTGGACGCATCCCATTCGCACCTACATCTTTTTGATTAGCTGCAGTTCCTCTCTACTCCTTTATATTTTCGCAGCTTCATGGAACATTCAGGTGGCCGAAGTATCTTATTTTCTGTGGACTCTCTGAAGTTGGTTGCTCTCAGAGCCATTGTGCTTTCTTTTTTATTTGTATTATTCTGGTTCCACCTCCTTCTCTTAGTGTCTCTCTCTTTCCCCCTCTTTCTTCTGTGTATTTGTGTGATCCTGCGTTGTAGTACCTGTGGGACTAGATAGCCCTTGATTATCACATAGATGGTGGTAAGAATGGAGTAATTTCCCTGCATTTGGGCCTGCTCTGTGTTGGGGATCCACAGAGGGAGGACAAGTATCCTTCCTTAAAGAAACGCCTCCTGAGCCTGCCTGTGATCCTAGTAGTTTGGGAGGCTTAGGCATGAGGATTGCAAATTTGAGCCCAATCTGGGCAACTTAGTGACCTACTGAGACCCGGTCTCAAAATAAAAAAAAAATAGAAAAGGCTAAGGATGTCGCTCAGTGCAAAGGCCCTGGGTTCAATTCCTAGGACTGGGAAAAAAAAAAAACGCAAAAAACAAAAAATCCTTGCGGCCTATACTGATGTGGTTGATACACCTTTCTGGTGCAGCACACTTAGTAAATTAGTGTGCTATTACAGTTTCTCCAACGCTTAAGCTGACACCAAAACATGCCTTAGAAGGTGACTTCAGATAATAAAGAGTATAAAATCTGTTACTTTATTTGAAAGTGTTTCGTCTGGCAGCCCCGGGCAAGCTCACAGACTGTAAATTTGCACTTTGCAAAGTGGTGCGGGAGTCTGGAGGGAAGGGGCAGGACTGAGCACCTCTCCTGCAGGAGCCAGGATGTCTCTGTGAGGGCGCGCCCAGGTGCTTGTGGCTTTGGGAAGGACTGTGGACCTTAGCGGAGACTTAGAGATTGGAAGATGTGCTGCGCTGCAGAATGGGTCGCTTGAGACCATATTGACCACCACAGCTACAGAGGCTGAGATGTAACTGTCTCTGTCCTCCAGTAGCAAAGAAGAGTTGGGCATCCTCTCTGGGCCTTGGACCTTTGCCTGCCCATGTGAGCCAGGCTGCATGCTGTGTGACAACTGCTCCCCCACTTCTCTAGGTCTCAGTGGGCAAGCTCTGAGGGACCTTCCCTGCCCTCCTCTTTCCTATTGCTGCTGCACCCAGCCAGCTCTTTTTGCCTGAAACATTGGCAAAGGAAGCCTCACTATCAAAGAGTCAGAGGGAGACAGCCAAACACAAGGGAGGTAGGCTGCGTGTGGAGGGTCCCACCGGCAGGGGAACAAGCTGTGGGCTCTAGCGGGGAGGTCTTTGGAAGTAAAAACAAAACATTACTTCACCCCTCATCTCCATCCCTGTGTGGCCAGGGGCCGGCTCTTGCTGATGACCCTGGCCAAGAGGGGGTTTGTGACTTTTGTCACCCCGTGCTGGGGTCTTCAGGATCTACACTTTCCTCTGAGGATGAAGAGCAGAGAGGTACAGATGATTGCAGGTTTTCTTTTAAGGTTCAATTATCGAAGGCTGGAACATAGTCCCAGAAGAGAAGGAGGGAAGGGAAGGTGGATATTTTTAGCAGAACTTTACCCACTTATCACTTCGCTCAGGGGCTGTGCCAAGAGGGTTCTCCCACGATTCCAGGAGAGCTGCATGGTGCCTGGCCGCCTCCTCCCTCCCTGCTGCTGTTCAGGGCTCCATGCAAACCCAACCCTAACCCAGGACACCTGCTACTTGCTCAGGGGCTGGGTCACCCTTCTGGTGGTGTGGGGTGGTGCCTGGGAGCCTGGGGAGGAGGCTGATGGTCAGGTTTATCGATTTTAGCCCTTTTAAAAGCCAGTTCTGTTTCAGCTGCTGAAACTGCCTGGACCCAGGCACCTGCTACCAGCAGACTCTGCACAGTTTCATCCCTCTGGATGGTGATGGTTGAGAACATAAGGTGTACCTCATGTACCAACGAGAGGTGACTCTCCTATGCCTTTATTTCCCCCAGGCATCTTGTCTTTTTTTTTTTTTTTTTGGTTTTTCTCCGGTACCGGGAACCGAACTCACGACCTTGCACTTGCCAGAGGCATCTTGTCTTGCTTCAGACTTTCCCTCTACCAAAATAAGTAAGCAAACAGAAAGCGAACCAGACCCCCTAAATCAAATTCTTTCATGTAGGGCCACTGATACAGTTGTGGAGGCTGTGGACTGCACAAGCCTAGGTCATAATCACATATCTAGTTGTGAACAGACAGAACACAAGAGCTGTAGTCCTGCTTTCCAGTGTTTCCTCGTCTGTGACGTCAAGTGAGGTGGAGGAAGGATGGTGGGAACACTGGCCTTCTAGAGTCTAGGTGCTTCTCCTGCTCCTCCTCCCCAAAGTTCCCCAGGCAAATGACGGCTCCTGGGCAGGGCCTTATGTGGCAGAAGAGTTTTCTTGTAGGCAAAGATAATGAGAACACAGAGAAGCAGGCTGTTCTCAGTAATGAAGGCTTTTTATATAAAACCGTCTGTCGAAGCTAAAAGACATAAAGCGTGCTTGTATTAAAAGGGTGGATTCAATGTAGAGAAAGTTTAAAGAGGTGTACACACCTAGGCACATTTAGAAATAATTTATCACAAAATTTTAATAGTTCAAAACCCTCACTGAATGCGAAGGAAATGTTTCTCTAATGGTCTAGATAGAAAACCAGTTATTCCTGGAGCTTTGTCCTGAGGATTGGGTGCGGGGCGAAGCTCTGGGGTCCGTAATGACAGCTGCTGGGCACCATGACATCAAAGTATCTGGTGCTGACTTCTTCCCCTTCTGACCTATTTCAGTCACTATCCTTATCACTGGGCCAACACACCTGACACCCAAAGCATAAGGAGGAGAGGTTTATTTTGGCTGACATTTTCATTCCCTGGTCAGCTGGCTCCAAGGCAGGATGGCATCACCGGGGGACACAGCGGAGGAAAAGCTGCTCACCTCATGGCAGA